TTATTATTTAAAAAAATAAATAGAAAAATTAACCATCAACTAACTAATTTTGAGAATTTTTTTTTCTAATTTAACATAACAAGTATTCAACTATAATCACAAAAGAACTTTTTTTTTTCTATTTCCAAAACCTTCAAACAATACACGTACAACATGTATTAATTTTTTAAAATAAATTATCATCGAAATCATGATAATATGTTGAAAATATTTACATTGATTTTCATGTTAGTTATGTACCGGAAGAGAGATTTATTTATCGTTAATAAGTTTTATTAATTATAAAAATATTCAATATTTTAATACGATAAAATAGCATATTTTCATTAATAATCACTACTTTATTGCTATCATTGATAAAAATTATAGTTAACATTTGGATATTTAATTATAATAATGTTACGAAAAAAAGAGAATATCAATCTATATACTGTATTAATATTTATATAATATTTTTAAAGTATTGAACGATATCAAAGTATTAAAAAAATAATAAAACAATGTACTCACGATAAATTTAAATTAAATTTAAAAAAACCGCTGTTGTCAAAAAAGTATAGTGATTGCTATTATTCTGATGTAATTCTGTCTTCAGTGTACAAACATTTTCATTATATTGTCATATTTAAACATCATTCAAATTTTGTACAATATGACGAAAAACGAAAGAAAGTGTAATTTAATTATAATCAAAGATCACTTTGATGTCAATATCAAAACATCATTTTATTAAATTTAGTCTAGATTTTGCATTACGTCATTTACAGATTTTTTTTCGAAAATATTTCATCTTGTTTCAGTTATAAAATTTATTATTTATAAAAATCTGTTTCTTTCAAAGGTCAATTGAATTAAAATATTAAGAATAAATAAATTCTTCTGCCAATGGTGTAATTTTTTTGTAAACTGGAAAGTCAGAATCACTTATTAATTTTAAAGTGATAGTACCTTTTAAAAAATAGTGAATGATTTCAGTAAAATTTTGAAAAACCAACTGACTTCATCAATGAAACTCTATTCAAAATGACATTCAAATTAGTAATTTTCACCTCCCAGTGCGAACAAGTGTTATAAACATGTTATTGTATTCCAACGTCATTGAAATCTTTGATACAATAAAAGTTGTTTAAATAATGAAAAGTGACGGGACGTCAGTTGTAACATTTTCCATGTTTATAAACATAAAAATGAAATAAAACTTGTTTTAAATAAGTCAAACATTTCAAGGATATTAGATGTTCATCAATAATTGAACTGCTCTTTTACACAGAATAAATTCATCAAAAAATATGTTTCACAATGAAACAAAAAATATAGAATTGTAATTTTTTTTTTCAATTTTTATTAAATTATAAATGTAAAATAATGATGAAAATATTAATTATTTTCCACTCAAAACAGTGATCACGGTAATGGAAAACTTTCAACTCTTCATTTACTTGCAAATCTTCGAATATGTTGATCTATACGTTTTAATGGACTCATAGAGGGTTAAAGAGACGCCTTAGGGGCTAAAGGGGGGGGGTGGAAGAGCGTATAAAATTTGGAAATATCGCAAGTACTCAAGTTTCACTACTGAGTTTTAAGGCTTTCTCCCTGGAGAAAAATGAAGGAGACAAACAAAGATGGAGTGAAAAGAATATATACCAGAATGAGTAGGAGGTGGGGAAAATAAAGGGTAGAAAAAAGGGGTTGCGCCCCCACAAGCTTCGGCAACGCCACATTTTTCACCCTCCATTTTTACGCCGATCCACCCTCTTATATTTCCCTTATTTTTTTCCCTCTCTCTTCAACTCTGATCTACTTCTTAATTTTTTCTCACTCTTTTTCCATCCCCAAGTATCTTCTTTTTTCTTGTAATCAATAATATACATGTTCTCCATTTTAAAATTTGACGAGTCTTGTTCATTTTTTTTTATTTACTCTGCAATATTTTATAATAAGTAATTCCATTTGTGGTACTTTTAGATTGGTAAATATTTAAGAATAAATTAGCAGATCATATAAATAAAACGTGATCGTGGAATTCAAAAAAGTAAACACTTTTAATGAAGGGGAATTTTTTACGCAAATCAATGGTTGAGTTGATACGTTCATATGAAATAAATTCAGTAATTCGAATAAATTGGTTGATACTCTTATTCACTTATCATGAGAGAGAAATAAATTACTTGAATTTTGAAATTAGCTGCAGAACCTTTGTAATTTATTTAATAATTCATTCCATCAGATTACGAATTTAATCATTCTATTTAGTCTTCAATAAAATTTCAATAATATTGCAGAGAAGTTTAAGGCTAGCAATAATTACAAGAATATTAATAACAATGGAGATAAAAAAAGTCAAAATTTCAATTTTTAGGAGTCATTATTACTGAATCAATTATCACAATCAAAGAAATTAAAAAAAAAACGTTTCAGTAAAAGTGTAAAATTGATTAACGATTGAATATTTTTTATTAATTGAAGCTAAATGTGTTTTATCAATTAAAATGATTGGAAAAATTCCTTTAATCAGTTAAAAATATTTCATATTCAATTTTTTTGGTGTAATTAATAAAAAAATGTGTTGATTGTTTTAATTATTACAAAAAACAGATCAATTACTCTTTTATGGAAAACAACAGATAATTATTTCCTTAAATAAGAAAGGAAAATTTTTATTTACTTTTCATCTTTCTGCCTCCATCGGTGGTCTTTCGCGTAATTATTTTTCTTAGCTCCCTCGTAGAATTCACGATCGATCTCACCCCCCTAGGAGGGTTTAAAAAGAAAGAAGAGAGTGAGAAATTTTTAAAGCTCAATCCTGAAGATATTCACCCTTTGAATCCCATCATATTTTTACCCTCAAGAAAAGAAATAGAAAGAGTAATAAGGGAAGAAAGTTAGAGAGCGACAGGAAGCAAGTGAGACAATACGAGAAAAAGAGTCGAGTCGAGAAAGACTAAAGAAGTGCTGAGATGGATTGAATGTAAGAGCAAGGGTTGGATTTTTTTTAACCCTCTTGTTTGATATAAAATACAACAAGAGCTGTGCAAATACCATGAAAATAAAAGAAATTAGCGAAATTAGAACGTTTGCACAGTGTCCCCACTCTCGTGTGCTTTTGACCAACCGGCAGCCGACGCCTGTTTGCGATTAATTATTCTGAAGCGGGGGTGTTGGGAGGGTGAATTGAGAGAGAAAGAGAGTGCGAGAGTGAGAGAGAGAGTGATTCGAAGTGGTTGATGGTGAACACGTCGAGGGTCGAGATCGAATCTCGGTGCAACCAATCCTGCCCACGTCAAACATTGATCAAAGTATGTACATTCATAAACATTGAATAAAACTACCCTGTTATCGACAAATGAAATATTTAAATGTCCATTTCAGTGAATTTATCAGATATATATTGTTTAATTATTTTATAAGTAATCTCGAATGCATAAAATTTACAAAAAAATATCCAGTTTATTTTTTTTTTTAATTCCAATTACTGAAATTTCTGTAATTTATTGTTAATAATTTTCAAAATATTCTAAATACTTTTGATCAATTTTAATCAGTTCATTATATATTCCACGTTATAATCAAAAATATAATTTATTATTTAGAATGAATATTAATATTAGTAACGATAATAATAATAGTAGTAATTATTATTATTATAATTATTTTAGCTGAGTACGTGTCTATAGATGTGATAAATAATTAAATATTTTAATCGCTCGCTTACCATTCACTAATATATAATCCATTACATCAACATTTTTTTTAATTGTCACCAAGAACAAAAATTTTTAATCGTTCACAGAATTAAGAAAATAACAACAGCAAGAAAAAACATAACTTTGAATTTAGAAAATAATAAATCACTATTATAAAAATAGTAAAATCAACCGAATTTAATGCGTAGCATCTTTGTACACCGCGATCCCGTCAAAAACTGACCCTCAGTATTTGCAGACCTACGATCAAGGGCCTCAAAAGGTGCCAAGGCCTGTTAGCGCACAATGAAGAGCAAAGAAAAGGGGAAAGGTCTGGTACAAAAATAGATAAATAAAATTTTTCTCGATTTTTACATTTTTTCCTAATTGTTTGAAATATCAGGTCATTTACCTGTAGTGAAGTAGTAGGGGTCGTTGAGGATGTTGAGGGTCCAAAGAGGGGAATCAATCTGATGAATATACAAGAAGGGTTCGAGAACTTGAAGGGTCAGTCTTTTTTTTTTCTTGAATGTTTAAGTTTAAACATCAGAGTATTCCTTTTATTTCATGTCTCCTTGTGTAACACTAACGGTATGTATTATAAGAATACATTCAAGTGGAGAGAGAGAAGAGATTCAGGACTGTGAGTGTCACGTTTCGATAGCTCGAAGAATTTTTTTAGTCTTCATTTCGGTTACTGACGAGGTCATAAGTTTCAAGGGAATAAGATTGAGATGCAACACGCGTTCCCAGGGAGTAACAGAGACCCTTTTGGCAGATGTTAGCAGTCGTCATGTAATGTCTATCACAAGTTTCCGTACTAATTTCAAGTCGTTAAATATTTTTGATTCATAGTTTACGCTTTGTTACTTTAGATAATTATTTTGATGATAAATTATTTTATATTTCTAATTATTAATTAATATAATTTTTGAATATTATCATTTTATTATATATAATAATGAAATTATAATATACTACCTGCATAGAATTATAATATGGTATCTATAGATATCTACCTACCGTTCACGAATGTTCGAACAAAGACAAGCATCGAAAGAAGCTGAAAAAAGCAGCATAGGATAGGAATGAAAGAAAGGTAAAAAATTAAAAACAATTTTTTTGGTATTTTTTTATTAATTAAATGATTGAGTCTGTATTGACGATTAGGCAGTTATCTGCAAAGCATTGAGATATTAAAAATCTAGAGGTATTTGCAGCACAATAAGTAAGAGAAAATCTTAGTAAGAAAGATTATTGTTAAATATTGAAAATAAATTAAAAATATTATTGATCAATTATCTATTTTATTACCTCTCGATCGTAATCTTCTATTATTATTTCCAAGGGACTAAATCCACTTCACTTTGTTTATATTTTAATCTTCGTTGTCAATAAAAATTGATCAAATTCGTAAAAAGAAAGTTTGAATTAATTTGACAAAACTTTTAATCAACAAATTTAAATGACAAGGTGGTGGACGCCAGCGTCTCACAATCGCTTTACCTTCAGCCCTCATTGATTATTTATTTATTCATAAATTGATCGTACACTCTTCAAATTTGGTTATCAATGAATCGATCACATAGTTATAAAAAGTAAAATAAAGCATTCACTTTTTTCTTTAAAAATATTATATTCACATAAAAAATGATTTTCACACAATTTTCACGGTGGTATTTATCACATGCGTCGGTTTAATTGTCTCCATGTGCACATGTATATGTATATATCGTTAATTATTATTAACGTCAATTTTGTCGTTCGTTACTATTAATATTAATATTATTATTATGCCGGAATAGGAAACGTCAAATGTCCCAGCATCCTTTTTCCTCCCTCTCTCTTTCGTTTTTCCTCCCTCTTGTGCTCCCTCTTGTTCTCGCTCTACTTCGAATTAACTTCCTGTCCTTTTCGATAGACAGAGGAACTATCTATCGATTTGTTATTAAATCGCAATCTGAGAATTGTCGTTCAAAACAAATCCAAAATACACTAAAAATAAATGAAAAAAAATTTTCTCCGTTATTATTTCTCAACATCAATATCATGAATAATTTTTTTTATAAATTTATTCATTTATGAATTGATTATTTATTTTAGAAATGAAAAGGGTATATTGTAAATCTATAGAAAAATTTAATCTCAAAGAAGTCATGAAAACAATTACTTTCACTCGTAATTCCTAATCGTTGAATTAATGAGAATATTCCTGTGATCAATCATTCATTACGAATGGAGAATGACAATAACAATAAATAAAACAAGTCTCTCTCTCACTCTCTTGAGCGAGTATCGTCCACGCGCGCGCACTCAAGCGATCCTCCACAAACAGTTGCGCCTGCAACCACGAAGGATTCCTTTATTTTCATTCGAATCCTTCCTGTAGCACACTTTTCACGCCTTTTGCTTCGCTTTTTTTTCTCCGATAATCAGTGTAAAAAAATAGTTCTTCACGTTGCACTGTTTTCTGTAAATTCCATAAAATGTTGCCAAATTTTTAAAATGGGAATCAATGGAAAAATATGAATATTATTTTGAAAAAAATGGCAACTGAAATTTGTGGGTTTTCGCGTTGGAGATATTTATGCGATTTATTACGGCGCGACTTAGAAATGCATCTAATGCAGTGCACGCCGCATAGAATGCATGCACCTTGGCGAAGAGGTGAAGGAGGAGGAGGAGGTCGAAAAGGAGGAAGGGGTGGGCTGAGATCAGAAGGGTGAGGACAGAGGCCAGGAGCAAAGTAGGTGGATGTGATTGTATTCATGTAAGAAAGACAGAGATGAAAATAAATGCATCAAGCGAATAGTCTACGCGCATGCGCCATTCCAAACAGTCTGTGTAAAGTCTTTACTGTGTCTATATCTACTTTCCTGCTCTTGCTTTTGCTCTTTCGTGCCCGTACGTCATATCATTGGCGTGGAAATGGTCTACTACAATAGAAACGTTGGCGCGAAAGTGAAATTTCCTTGTATTATCTCTTATCACAATCCTTTCATTTTTTTTCTCCACGATCAAACGTATTTCGCCGAGTGTCTCTTTTTCAAAATAGTCTCAGCCGATTGTCTAGAATAAAAAATTTATAAATCCATAGATTAACTCGCTACAAGTCAATTTCATTTTAATGATCGTTTAGAAAGAAGAAAAAAAAATAGAGGATTAATGATGATCGTTCTAATGGCCTATTTAAAGAGTAACTCTTGAAGAAAAGTAAATAGAGTTGATCGCTTGATTTATTTCAATTTCATTACCATTATTTCATAATCACTTTTATAAAATGGTAGGCATTTTTCAAAGATGACCCCGACTCATCGCAGCTTGGTAAGTGATTAAAGTGAAAAATCATTTGGCAGTATTTGACTGTGAGATTCGTATACAAGTGACCGTCACTCTGTTAGGCTCTCTGGAGCTGATAGATGCTCGTGTATTATGTTGAAGAGTATTACAGTCATACGCACAACAGTCTCATAGAAGTGAAGCCGCGCGGTATCAAGAGGAGTGCCAGACTATGCTCACATGCTAGACAAGCGTGGACTATATGCATGCGAGAATGCACACGCTCGTGGCTAGAGGCAGTCAGGAGTGATGAGGCTTCTCATGTACGTGTAGTACCAGAGCAACATGCAGCGAACTAAAGAAAGAGTTACTTTACGAGGGAAGGGATAGAAACATATGCCTCCCTATTTTCTCACTTTGTACCATGCGATTCTTTCCCGCCTCATGAAAGTTACGTTCTATTTTAAACTTCGTTTAAACTCAGTCGCTAAATCTTTTTCTTCAATTTCTTTTTCTATCATTTTGTTTCGATTCATCTGCAAATATACTCCAAAGAGAGAAAACATTTATTTACTCATGAGCCCTTTTGAATACACTGCACATGCAATCCTGAGTCAACAGTCATCATAAAAATTTTATCCAAATGAAACAATTTTTAAAAATAAGCTTAATTTCATTTGATCTTCTTTGTAATTTGTTGAGTTCATACTTTTATAAATATATATTAAAAAGATAAAGTACATCGAATAAAAAATTCTTTTAATCAATAAAATATATTATTCATTCTGTCTTACATGAATATTTATTAGGATTAAAAAAAATTAATTCGACTTTATAGACTAAATTTTTTAAATTTATTTAAAATTCATGCAGGGATTATTTGTCTATTATTGAATTATTCTGATGGAATGAATAGTACACTCAACAATAACTTTTTCCACTTAGTGTGTATCAATATAAATTTAAAAAACTTCATTTATTGTTATATTTTATGTATGGTTGAGCCTATTGAAATAAGAAATTAATCCATCAGATGAATTTTACAAATAGTATTCCATAAAATATCAACTCTGTTTTTGATAAATCATTGGAATTTTATTCTATTAGACATTCCGTAATTATTTTTCATTAAAAAGTAGACCATGCTGCTTGAAATAAATAAGCAATTAGTAAAAAAACTCGTGAATAAATTAAAAAAGTAATGAGTTAGATAAATAGCTTCATCACGCAATGATCAAGTCAATTAAAAATAATTTTTTTTAAAGTTAATTTGCATGTGTAATGAAAAAATTAGTTATTTAATATTGGTTAGTATCTCAATGACACAGGTGTACCACCAACACTAATGGATTCCCTGAACGGGATAAACGCGAGTCGAAAAGCGACTATCATCCCCTATAGCGTGTATTTTCACCCTCTCTTCTTCCTTCTTTCTCTCTCGCTTTCACACTCTCTATCCACATCCACATATATCCATAGCTAATTCAACCCCGAGGTCCCGCGATGCCTTTTACTTTTTTTTATTTCCCACAGGAGCATAAGAGAAAGATAGAAAATGACTCGTTAGCTATGAGTGGAATGAAAATAGCGATAAAGGGAGGGGGTGGAATGAGGATATCAAAGCTTTAGGGGATGAGGTCGTAGCAGCATTTTCCCGCTTTTGTTTTCCTCTATTTTCTGGTTTTTCCGGGATGAGAGCCAAATGCAACAAGTAGCAGATTATAAAAATCACTCGAGAGGGATGAGGAAAAAAAAGTTAACATCATGGAGTGGGTAACGTTTAGTTGCTCAATTCAAATTAGACAGTATGTAACGTTTTAAAATATTTTTTTATATTCAACGAGTTTCATGTTTTTTTTTACTCCTAATAATTATTTGGAATTTTTCCAATAATAAAAAATCATTCGATTTTTAGGATTGTTTATTAAATAACAGTTGTTGCAATAAATATCTGATATTTTTTTTTCTTTCAAAGTTGTGGAATAGAATGGAAAAAAACATATATATGAATGTATTTTTATTGAAAAGCACATTCAGCTGCATCCAAAAGTTATCCAGTTTTATACAATGAATTTTTCATCAATTCTGTCAATTTTGCATTCCCCTCACAGCATATTTCATCCCTTCACATGCATCGCTGTGTATCAGATATATATTCAGACTGGTGTTCTTGGACTGAGCATGCGTGCTATTTACACGAAACGATCATTTTGTTGATGTATATGTGAACGTATTATTTCCTGGCATTTAGGAGGCTATAGAGGGATGAAGAGATACAATGTGTAACGGCCCTCAGAGATTGAAAATCATTGGAAATCCTGGAATTCCGTTTAATTTTGCCATTTTTTTCATCGATTTATTAATTTTTTAAAATATATTTTTTATCAAAAATGTATCAATTTTATTTTGGTTCATCATTTTCGTTCAATATCCCACATTCATTTGTATGATAATGGAATTTCGATGAAATTCCGTTATAGCCCGATGATGCTGTAGGAATTTCCGGAGATACTCATGATGATTAAATTCTACATGGAAACATTTGTTTAATTTAATTATAATCATATTCACTACAATTCAATAAATTTTTCAAATTTCATTTATACTATACTTGATTGAAAATAACTTTTGGAAATTAATTTGTTTTCATTTTTTCTGTTCTCAAAATTTCAATGATTTCGTGCAGAAAAAAGTATGATTTCCATACAATACTGATTCTTATCTATAGATGAAATCTTTTTTATGTTGTAATTTAACTAACAGTTGATGGTAAAATTTTATTTTTGAAATGTTGCATGATAATTTATGATGCATACGAAATAAATGAGTAAATTAGAAAAAAGGTACTGAGATAAATTGGAGAATTTAGTAAAGGAAAAACTTTTTTGGCACGACCTACCACAAAATTCTACGAAAAAAAAATAAAAACTATAAAACACCGAACGTTTGCTCTCAACAAGAGTCACGGAAGAGGGTTTTGTGGTTTGCGATTTCTAGAACGCCTAAAAATAAGACGCAAATGCTTGTGTGTAATGCACTGTATGTCGACGTCCACGTCGAGGAAATAAAATGGCAGCGTCCGTTGCAAGAAACTATGAAGGAGAAGAAAAACGAAGAAAAGCATCTAAAATTGGCGGGGACACCCTTCCTTAAAACCAATACTGGCTATGATGCCTGTACGGCTGTTGCCAGAAAATCAAAACAAATTTAAATCTTTTTTTTGTTGCCATTTTTTGGCTTTCATAACATAATTGAAATAATTGAAAAACTTTGCCAAAAGTATAAACTCTAATTAATCTATTTCACCATAATGGAATCTAGTTGATAAATAATATAAACATGGTTGATATTATTTTTGCCTTGCGAATATTTGGGAAAAGTAGGATATTTAATTATAAAAAATTCAAAAATAATTGATGATTCATAGTGAAGTAGAAAAGAGTTAAGTGTGTATAAATGTGCGTACGGAAAATGAATCGGCTGCCAGAATATACTTTTTCATCAGTTTGCTGATTTCGTTCATGTGTGAATGTGGTATTGATGAAGGGAATTGCAACGAGAGGGGGTGAGAGACACTAAGAGGGTCGATCGTACGATTAACGACACGAACAGAGAAGAGAAACTGCAAGTATGGCCTTGATGAGAATAACTTCTTTAGCTGACCATACTTTTGCTTATTTATTCGCTTATTTTTTTCGCAATTGATGTATTCAAAAAAAAAAACAATTTGCTCACTTACAATAATAAACAAAAAAATTAACGTGAATAATTACTATTTTGATACTGATTAAAATATTCAATTAACTTTATACGCATTTTAATACTTTAATATAAATAAGAGTAAATAGATAAATGCCTGGATAGTGTGTAAAGAGGAAAAAAATTATGATTTAGCTTGCTTTAATGCGGAAGTTATTGCGAGAAGAATTTATGAATGTTGTCGTCAAAGTGGGTGGCCAATGATAGTAAGACACAAAAAATCATCGTAGAATACAGTTGAAAAATAAGTTATTTGGATGCTTTTAGTTTGATGGTTATAAACAATATGATTATTGAGTTATGTATCATAACATTAAAACAAAAATGTAAAAGATTTAATTTTTTGTTTACTGTGTACAATTATTTGATCTCATCACATGGTTCAAGTGAAAAAATTTTAAAAACAATGTGGAGTCATTTTTCAAAATTAAATGTTGTTATTTTTATTATTATTGTTATTGCTATTTGGAAAAGGTTTCGTACTTGCCGACATTATCGAGGTGGCCAAAGACCGACAGCGAGCGGAATTATCCTGCCAGCAGATGACAGCATCAGGCCGTAACTTCTGGTAGTGCGATTCCTGTTT